AGCCCCCCTTCCCACCGGGGCCCCCACCTGCCCCAGCCGGCCTCAGGCCACTCCTGACTGCAGCTAAACTGCCTGAGAGACCAGGCCTGGAAACTAGCCAGCAAAACACCTGCACTACTGAAGGAGACTGGGAGGAAGGAGGCCTGGCCACAGCTCCTGCAAGAGAACCGCCAGAAGGACTGGATTGGGAGATCAGCCAGCAAGACAGCTGCACTACAGAGGATGTGAAGGAAGGACCCTGGAAGGAGGCCAGTGGAGACTGGTAGGAAGCAGCCCAGGGCGAGTTATAGCCCAACGTGCTCAGCATGTTGCTGTGGGATTCTCCATTGGGAGAGCAGTGGAACACACTGCAGCTAACAGGGCCCTGAGCTGGGACCTGGTGGAGTAGAGTGGGCCTGGGTCCCCCATGCAACTCCTCAATCCCCAAGACAGGGGGCCAGCACCCATTTCCTAGAGGTTCTGGCTGTTAGGTCACACTGCCCTGGTGAGAGGGGTATTGTTGTGTAACCACAGTTGTGTTGCAGGAGAAGCAGGGTTAGTTGTGGTCCCAAGAAGCCCAGGAACTTGACAGTGCCCCCTGGGAGAGGGTTGAGTGCACTATCCTGTGACAGGGTCCCATATGAAGAGAGATTTAAAAAGAGTAGGACATTTCATCTTAGAAAAGGAGATATAAAATCATGACTGGCATGGAAAAAGCGAATAAGGAAAAGTTATTTACTTGTTTCCATAATATAAGAACTGGGGGTCACCAAACGAAATTAATAGGTAGCAGGTTTAAAATAAAGAAAAGGAAATTTTTCTTCACTCAGTGCACAGTCAACCTGTGGAACTCCTTGCCAGAGGATGTAGTGAAGATCAGGACTTTAACAGGATTAAGAAATGAACTACATAAATTCCTGGAGGTTAGGTCAATCAATGACTATTAGCCAGGATGGGAAGGTATGGTGTCCCTGTCCTCTTTTGTCAGAGGCTGGAAACAGGTGACAGGGGAGGGATCATGTGATGATTCCCTGTTCCGTTCACTCCCTCTGGGGCACCTGGCATTGGCCACTGCTGGCAGACAGGACACTGGGCTGGGTGGACCTTTGGTCTGACCCCGTCTGTCTGTTCTTATGTAGTGGGGAACCTAAGGTCCAGGGCTGGATGAAGCCCCCGAAGGAGCCCATGCTGGTGCTCCAGCCCTCCTGCTGTCCCCCCTTGGGGCTGGAGCACACAATCTACTACTCTGGGTTCCCTCAGGCTCTAGTGTGTGAGGGGAATGTGGGGAACGTCTCTCTCTCCTTCTCAGTTGGGGGCCACATCAGTGAGGACTTTTTATTTGTTTGTTGGCTTCTCACTTGTGTGCAGCCTGACTGATTTTTCTGTGGGTCAACAGCCCTGACCCAAAAAAGTTCCCCACTCCCGGTTTAAATCTCTGCCCAGGACTTACTGTACACGCGCAGGGCGAACCTCCGGAAGATGGGGTCGGGGGATCCCTGGGTGGCTATCTGTGCTGTGTACGTGCCCGTGTCCTCGGGGCGCAGGTCAGTGACTTGCAAGGAGTAGCTCCCGTCAGGGACCCGCAGTCGGTCTCTGTAACGTGTGTGTATCACTCTGAGTGGAGCTGGTTCTCCTGGTGTCACAATTGCGATAGTTGAGTTTCCATTCCAGACTACGCTGTCAACCCGGCTTCCCCTTGGAACCACAGGAGCGAAAGTGACCGACTCCCCCTCAGCCCCGTTCAACCTCGTGGGCCCCGACTCCTCTCCGAAGGCTCCTGCAGCAGGAAAGACAGAAGAAAAGGAAACTGAGACTCACTAGAAACAACCCACATCCCTGCCACCATTTCCCTACCCCCTCCCAATCCTCTCAAAACTAACTTTTTGCTTTTGGCAACCACAAATCGATAATTGTTACTAAAAACTGCCAAAAATCAAACCCTTTCTTCCTACAAACTGAAAATGTGTTGCTTTCAGGTTTCTGATAAAATGGGTCTAGTCCTCGTCCTCCCCCCCGCCCTGTAAGTCAATATATATTTTATTAAATAATGTAAAAATGGACTGGAAACCGTAAGCATTTAACAGTTTCCCTTTATTGCACAATATCACGATCATAAGAAAAAAATATTTAACTAAGAATATCAACATTATTGATACTCTTTTGAATATGGAAACAACCAAGCACTCTTTGATCAATGACCCTCAAAAGCAAATATTTTCTAAAATTAAAACAACTATAGCCCCTTCTTTTGCAATGTTCTTCAGGTCCCCACCCTTCTGGGAGCTGTAGGAGGTATTTTTTTTTCAAAATAACAGATTTTGGAACAATATTTTGTATAACATTTATAACTGTCATTGGAGAAAAATGGTTTTACTAAGTTTTTATTTATTGCAATAAATGTCAAAGATTGACCTTCTTTATAAAAAAACAACAAAACACTCCCGAGTATAAGTTAGCTAGTTTGGCACGTTTTTTCTTGCATAAGAGTTTTGCTATGGCTTGTAGATTGCTATCAAAGTGCATGTTCGAATAAGATTGAAATATTTATTAAAAACTCTTTGTTCATTTTTTTTTCACTTCTTGTAAATATTCATTTTTTCGCTGGTAAATACTTGGACCTCCCATCTTTCTGTGAATATTATCTACAGCATCTGAAGTCATGGCCCTGGAGCATGTGAAACCAATATGTAGGGCTTTTTAAAGCTCAGTTACCTAGAAATATGTTTAAAAATTCCAGTTAACAAACATACATTGTGGCAACAGCCTTGATTAATTCTATCCATTTTGTTATTGCTAAACTGCATCCTCATAGATATCACTTTTTAGTTAAGTAGTTAGTATGCTTGTTGCACAGTATAGACTTATATTTTATTTGGGTGCCTATCTAGTGTTTTTATCCAAGAGATAACCGTGACAGACAATAGTAACTCCAGGGCTGTCTACACATTGGCACCCTTTTCCAGAAAAGGGATGCTAATGAGACACTTCGGAATTGCAAATATCCCCCACGGCATTTAAATATTTAAATATCCCCCGCGGCATTTGCATGAACATGGCTGCCACTTTTTTCCGGCTCGGGGACCAGGCCTGCCACTTTTTTCCGGCTCGGGGTTTTGCCGGAGAAAAGCGCCAGTCTAGACAGAATCTTGCGGACTGGATTGGGAGATCAGCCAGCAAGACAGCTGCACTATAGAGGATGTGAAGGAAGGACCCTGGAAGGAGGCCAGTGGAGACTGGTAGGAAGCAGCCCAGGGCGAGTTATAGCCCAAGGTGCTCAGCATGTTGCTGTGGGATTGTGTTGCAGGAGAAGCACAATTGTGTTGCAGGAGAAGCAGGGATAGTTGTGGTCCCAAGAACTATTCCTAGGAATAAGGGATCTTCCGGAAAAGGGTTTATTTTCCACAAGATCCCGTCTAGACTGGCGCTTTTCTCTGGCAAAACCCCGAGCCGGAAAATCCCAAGAACTATTCCTAGGAATAAGGGATCTTCCGGAAAAGGGTTTATTTTCCACAAGATCCCGTCTAGACTGGCGCTTTTCTCTGGCAAAACCCCGAGCCGGAAAA